ATCTTTCTTAATTAAAACTTCATTTGTTTTATTGTTAAAATTTTTAAATACAACATATTCTTATTATTCAAGAAAGATGATTTTATTGTTCATGAATAATATTTTATCATTCAAGAATAATTCAATTAGATCAGGTTAAGTCAAATGAAAATTTAAACCAGATTAGAATTTTGTTTGACTTAACCTAATCCTTTTAGTTAAAGAAACTTGATTGACTTAATCTGAATCAATCTTTTCAAAGTTTTACTCCAGCTTTATAATTAATAGCTTCTTAAATTACTTTATTAATGTTAGTAGATTTACTAGCAATAATATATCATATTAAGTCTTTTTCATTCCTTTTAAAAATAGTCTGATCATATTGTTATGATAGTTCTGTAGCTTTATTAAAATCTTAAAAGGATAAATAAAACTAGGACAATTACTCAAGAAATTATATGTAAGGATTCACAATAATGTTAAAGATTATTCTCAATATAAAAATAAGTAATATAAACACAAAGATAACTCAAAAATATTTTAGAGATTATGCTTTAGAAATTTTAAGTTAATACAGCAAATCAATATAATATCATATAATAAGTTTACTAATAATAATTAAAGGGTTTACATGAATGTAAAGAATCATAAATAATTTATAACAGTTTCAAAAGGTTGCAAAGAATAAGTATTATACTTAATTAATTATACTTTTTTATTAATATAATATATATAAGTTCAATACTTAAAAGATTATCATCTCATCAGTATCAAAACTCAAAGAAAATACAGAGATATTTATACATATTAAATAATTAATAAAATAAACTAAATTAAATATATTGAAGAAAATAAAGTTACCATTTTGCTAGGCAACAAAGTTATTGTGTCAATAAAATTGCCAGATCTGCAGGTAACTAAATAGACATTTATAATTTATGTGATTATCAAAGGTAATAAAATTGACATCTAAAGATTTACATAATGATCAATGACAATAAAATGAATAAAATGATTTACTTAAAAGATCTATATTGTTAACAGAAAAAATTACAACTCCAAATATCACGTGGGATCTGTCAATCAACAATAATCTCACATTAGACTATGTCACTGCTGTACCAAATAGTAATCAGCAATAATTTCTGTTTTGCCTGTTACACTTGTCACTTCTGTATTTTCTGTATAGTCTGTTTATTCTGTTTTGCCTGTAATTTCTTTAATGTCAGTAATTTATTTTATTTCTTTTTATTATTTTATTTCTTTTTATTATTTTTATTATTTTTATTATTTTATTATATTTAAGTATATTTTTATTAAAACATATATCTATATTTAGTTAATTTATAGTGTAGCAATTAGTTAGCTATAGCAAATTAATTTTGTATAAATAGAATAGCTTTTTGCTTAAATTGTAAATTAACTCATTTGTAAATTACTTATAAGTTTCAAATTATAAATAAAAGAATCAATTTAAATCTATACAAACTACTTTTTCTTTCAACATTGATTCTTATCTAGAATTTTGTAATACCCTACACTAACTTGCTATTGAGTTTGTCATTACGAGTTTGATTAAATATATCTTAAATTCTAAGACGTAATAAATTGCTGAGTTGATTCAAGTATAATGGATACCTGTAGGACTTAGAGAAAATCCTAAGGTTAGAAACTCCAATGTATAGAATCAACTGACACAGTCACTCAACTTAGATATTAAGATAAATGAAAATAAACCCAGTAACAATATGATAATAAAATTGATTTTCTAATCTACCAATTAATTCTATCTAAAATTTTATCTATCATAATATAATGTTCTGGCAAATCATTATTAAGATCTACTTTTCTTTTTAACCTCTTAAATTTATTAGCATAAAATTCAATATTTTATTCTTTTTTTAAATATTATTAAGCTCATAATAATATTTATTTTATTATTCAATCATAAAAAGTGATTCATAAATTGAAAAATGAAGGAATCAGGTTTAGCTATATTAGGATCTCTATTATTTTCTGATTCTTTCTATCATTAAGCAAATTTAATATCTTCATACTAACTTATAGCTACATGCTCAAAAAATTCTTAAGCAATTTTAATTATTCTTTAATTAGTTCAATTATTAGCTTTCATAGCTTTCTTAAAGTGATGTTGGCTTAGTATCTATAAACTTAAATGATTAATTTTAATTTAATACATTAAATTAAATATAAGACTTTATTATAATCATATCTATATAAAGATATGACAAAAGGTAATAATAAATAAATTTATAAGATTCCTTTATTGAACTCTTGGTTTATCCTAAATCCTATCTCAAGTTACTTTTTAATTTAAGAAAAATTACAAGATATATATACAAATAAAATACTATAAAATAATATAACAAATATAATATAAATGATAAAATAAATAAATAATATAAATAAATACTTTATTAACTAAGATATAATTAAAAAGTATAATTATTATAATAATTATAATTAATTTATCTAATATAGTAAATAGATCAATAATGATTACTTTAGAATCTTAGTCTAATTTATTTATTTCGTCAACTTTATTAATTATTTTGATTATATAACTAATTAAGATATAGTCAAAGATCATAACTTTAGTTAGTAATTTAATCAGATAGATGAGTCTTCTTCATATTTTTCTGAGAAGCATTTTATTAGTACTAAGTAAATTTCACTTGCTAATAGTTAGATTAAAGTCTATTTTGAAATTTCTGAATAAGTTGATCGATAGATATAATGAGTTGAGTAATAAAATTGTTAAATTGATCAGCATCTATTGTTTCTTCTTATAGGTTCTAATGAAAGAGGTATTAAAATTTGAAATTTTATTATTATAAGGTATTTAAAATTAACTAAATAATAAGATTCTTCTAAAATATAAATAGTAATGAAGTTAAAATCAAATTAAAAATCAAAAAAGTTAGTAAAAGTTAGTTTATAAGTTCTAATTCATGAAAGAATTGTTGATAGTGATTAAATAATCTTATTATCTTTTTAGTATATATAAGAGTATCAAATTCAGTGCTAATCTAATTCTAAAAATGCTTAAATGGTAAAGTTACTTCTTTTGAAGGCGAATAACAAATTATATAAGTATAATTTATTGATAATTAACTTCTATTTTTAGAGTATTATTGAATATGATTTCATTATAAGGTAAGGTAGAGATCAAAATTCATCCATTAAAAAGCTAAAAGACCTGACAGGAATCATAACTTTTGTTAGTTTGTTATCTGTAAACTAAGACGATTAACTTTAATTCAATATATTAAATTAAATACAAAACTATATCACAATTATGCCTATATAAAATATGATAAAAGGTAATAGTAAATGAATTTATAAGTTTCTTTTATTGAACTCTTGGTTTATCTTAAAACTTTATCTCAAATTACTTTTCAACTTAAGGGAAAATACAAGATATTTATATAAATAAAATACTATAAAATATAATATAACAAATATAATATAAATGATAAAATAAATAAATAAGATAAATATATATACTCTACTAACTAAGATATAATTAATAAGTATAATGATTATAACTAATTTATTTTAAATAACTAATAGATTAGTAATGATCACTTTATCATATTAGTTTATTTCATTAACTTTGTTAATTATCTTTTAATCACATAATTAAATAAAACATAATCAAGAATTATAGCTTCAATGTTAAATTTAAATCAAATTAAATATTTAACTTAATTTAAATTCAAATTAAACTTGACTTGATTTGAGTTAATCTTATTTTTTAAGATATATAAACTAATTTATCTTAAATTGATTGATCAATTTTTCTTTTTTTCTTTTCGATCAATATTTTTTTATCCTTCTCTTTATTAATCTTTATTATTTTTTATTTTTATTTATAATTTTTTATTTTTTTTTATTTTATTTTATTTTATTTTATTTTTGTTTTTATTTATAATTTTTCTTCTTCTACCCATCTATTTTTTTCTTTTTATTTTTATTTTTATTTTTAATTCTCTTTTCTTTTATTTTTTTTATTTTTTTTATATTTTTACTTTTTTTTTTTTATTATTTTTTCCCTTCCTTTCCTTTTTTTTTTATTTTTTTATTTAATTTTTTAATTAAAAAATAATTCTATTTTTAAAATTGCAGTATTTTTTTAAATTTAATTTTAATTTTAAAAAAATAATTCAATAAAAAAAAAAATATTAAAATAATAATAATTAACCATAATTAAAAAACTAAAATTATTTTATTATTAAAAAAATTTAAATTAAAAATCGCAGTATTAAAATAAACTAAAATAAAAAAATTAAATTTTAAAATTAATAAAACTATAAAATCACATTATTAAAATATATTAAAAAAATAAAAATAAAAATTAAATAAAAATAAAATATTAATAATTGATTAAAATTCATATTATTAAAAAAAATTAAAATTAAAATTAAAAATAAATAAAATTAAATTAACCTAAATTTACAATTAAAAAAATTAATATTTAAGATAAAAATTAAAAAAAAAATTAAAATAAATAAAATCTGTAAAAATTAATATAAAAGATTATTAACTGAAAATATAAAAAATTCAATATTAAAAAAATAAAAATTAAAAGAATTAAATAATTGAAAAAATATATAAATAATTAAAATTAAAAATCAAAAATAATATTATAAAAATAAAATAAATCAATTTGAAATTAAAAAAATAAAAAAATAAATGTAATTATATATATAATAAAATAAATTCTAAAATTTCAATTTAAACAAATAATTAAGAAATTGCCTGTATGATGATTATGTAATAGATAATATTTAATGATAAGCATTTTTCGCTGAAAAATTCTAATAATAAAATCTAAATATAGTAGAATATGATAATATCTATCATGTGATACAGGTACATATATACTTTGTAATTTAGAAATTTTTAAATAAGAATAATTTTTTTTATAGAAAGAAATAAATAATAAATTAAATTTGAATTAAAAAAATGCAAAAATAAAAAACTAATTATTAAAAAAATTATAACTATTAAAAATTAAAAAAAAATTAATTTAAATATAAATTATAATAAAAAAAAATAAAATTAATAAAAAACTAATATTAAATTATTTGAATTAAAAATACAATTTAAATAAATTAAATTAATATAAAAAAATACAATCAATTATAATCTGAAACTAACCGCAACTAATCTAATCATATTTGAAACATAACTAAACTTAGCCCAATTCTGCCTGAACTAATCTAATAGAAGATTTACTATTAAAATCGAATTATGAATATAGTAAATAATATAATTTATAATGTAATTTTAATAGCAAATATTTTAACTATCACCTGAATTTAATTTAAACTTTACTCAAATCATTTTAACCATATCCTGAACTTAACTTAATGATCTTAACCTAAATTTAAATTGAAACTAATTGTAATCTAAACTTAACCTTTACCTCTAATAATAAATATAATTTAATATATTAAATTTATTAAAAAAAAATCAATAAAATTCAAATAAATTAAAAAAATAATGCTAATTAGTTATCATTATAAATCATCTATAAAATTTAGTATTAGAAATTTATTAAATAAATTAGTGTTAAAAATTGGGTTTAAGATAGTTTTTAACTTAAAGTTAAGTTAGGTTTATGGTTAGGGTAGGGTTAGGTTATTTATAAAAAACATTATTTACGAGTTAGCGTTAGGATTAGGTTAGTATTAGGGTTAGAATTAGGTTATTTATAAAAAAATCACAAATTAGGTAATTTATTAAAAAAATAATTAATTAGCATTAAAATTTGATTATTATTTATGTTAAATTTGTTAAATTTACTAAAATTTTACATTTTTTCCGTCGCGATAGCGACCCCGAGGCATCACTCAGGTAGAATTGCTAGTAGTAATATATTAAGCGAAAAAATTACAAAAAATTATTTTTACAAATTTATTATTAAATTTATCTATTGAATTTTTTAATAAAAACAATTAATATATTCGATATTAATATGTTAACTATAAAACTTTTAAATAAATAATAGCTTGCAAATAGTATATTTATCGATACTAAACGTTGGGCCTATCATTTCATTGAAATTTTTTAATATCGCAATTACTATTATGGGTTATTTTCCAACCAGTTTTATTATCTTTTGAACAAATATCTGAGGTATCTCGAAGAAAGTTAAGTTCCTTTAATTGGCCATCTGAGGCAGCTATTACACAGCTATTAGTATCATTTCCGACTATTGGACAATAAATATGACCAGAATCACAAGATTGTCCGCAAAATGAAGGTTTTGGGTCACATATTTCAACATTAAAAGTATTTAAGCTAGCGCTTATTATTGATGCTGCCATATTGTTATATGTATTCTTTTTAATAGAGTTATATACGTCATCATCATTGTCAAGTAATTTATCATAATCCATCCTTTTATTAACAGTAAAACCAGCTAATATTGACTTGTTTGCAGCAAAAAAATTATTGTGTAATGTATCTTCAAAATGGAATTGTAGACTTTCACTTGCGGCTGATAGATATGATGAAATATCTGGATAGTTTTGATTATTTCCGGTAAAAGATTGATGAACATTGTCCATTAAACTTGGAAGGAAGTATGCATTCACCGGGTTAGTCGTAAAAAATCCTAAATTATCAGCCAGCACCGTATCTCTCTTTTGCAAAACAATTCCCTTTCTCAACTCTCTAATAATTTCTGGAATATTCGGGTTAGTAGTTCTATAGTTATCTATGCCCCAATGAAGATCAAATGGTTCGGAAGGGCCAAAAATTTCATCCCAACGTTTTTGCAAAACATTGAGAGATCTAAGTCTAATTGATATGGATGTTGCTCTGACCTCCTCTGGTAGAAATGGTACATCCAAAAGATCATCTGCAGAAGCAACTTCTGAAGCAATTTCGGAGAAGCCTTCCATTATCCTATATAAATAATTTATGCCGGCAAGCAAATATGATCCACAATATGGAAGAGCCAGCATGCCAACGAACATGGCTACAGGAATTAATATCTCTTTTAGCAAATTTCTTTTAGGCGGTGGCGGCGGCGGCGGGATCAATTCTTTTAGATTTTCGGGAGTCATTTTCACACTTAGTTCATTAAGGGCTTCATGGAACCCTTGATGGTGTTTATCCCAATGATTGAATAGCTTGTTTGCCGAATTTATCATGTGATATGTAGCAACACCATAACCATCAGGATTGAACGAACTGCCTGAACCGAATTGAAGAGATGCAGCGTATGTTCCAACTTCATGACCAGTTAAATAATCGATGCATTCTGTTACAAGTTCTGTTTGATTAATAGGCCATTTGGGTGCATCTGGGTGTTTACCTTCTTTGCAATACTGGGCAGTTAGATCAGTTGGAAATACATGATCAGGGTTCGGTATATCTTGCTTATGTGTAATTTTAGGGGTCGGTATAAGGTTCATTGTGTAATTACTTAAACCACATTTGTAGTTATTATGGTCTTTTTCGGTATATGCAACCGAAAGATCATCCCTGTTTATTTTCACCAAAAAGCTGAATTTACAATCATAGGTACATCCCCACATAGTGACGTTTACAGTTGACATCGGTAGCTCATGCTTTAAAGTTTGAACATCCCAGATCAAAAGAGACGTCGAATAAGTAATGCCATCATCGTCAATATGGAACGCCGTAAGATCAGAAGGTATGTCCATGTCGCACATATTAAAATCATGTTCTACGGTGATCCAATCGGCAATAACAGCCGATGAAAAATGTATAAGAATGTATAATAAACTTTTCTTCATAGTGAAATAATTTTTTTTTTCCTTTGTCGAAAATAAAGACCTTATATACAGTTTGTAAACTAATAGAAACCAGGGAGACCACATGCCTTTAAATCATTTCGGTAACCAATTCTTTTATTTCGTTTTGAACTATCAAATAATTAATTCTTGTCGATCTCGGAACAGTCGATCGATATAAGAATGTTCATTTATATATAATATAAATATTATATAAATGAATTTTTACAACAAAAATTTTTTTTTTATCTCGTTAATTTATCGAGATCGACATCTAAATAGAATCAAGGGTTGTATTCAGACCTTTCCGTTTATATTTAAGTAATTATGACGTTAAATTATTTAATTAATCAACGTCGGCGCTCTAAACTTTCGCATCTTCAATTTTATTAAACTAATTTCTTTAATAAATTTTTTTAGAATTTTTTTTTCGCTTATTTATTTGCAATACATTAGAAACTGAAATTGATTTTCGTCTGAAATTGGAATCTCAACCGAAGATCGTCTGCAACAGAAGAATTGTAATCTCGTATATTTACTTAATAATAATAATAATCATATAATGGCATAATTAGTTAGAAGAAAAGATTATTTCTAAATACTATAATGAAATAACTAATTGTTTACTTAATATATAATATCAAATTAAAACTCGTTTCTTATACTCATTAAAAGAATGACATTTTTTTATTTATTCCTTTTTTTATTTTTTTTTAGAATATAAGTCAATATTTAAATGAATTGTATTATCTATTCATGATCTTCCAATCATTTTTTTTAAAAAAATGCAGATTAACATTTCAAACATTGACGTTTCGATTTTAATCTTTATTTCATCAGTTCATGCTTGGATTACAATAGGTATTGTTTAGTGAAGGGCTTCCTTATACCAGACATCTCATACACGTGACCAGTCGATCTGCAAACCGTTTGGTGAAATACTCCTTTTCCTTAATCTTGCTATGCATTATTGATTATTGTAAAAATAAAATATCTAGTATATTTCATATTTTGCTATAATATTTTTATTTATAAAATATATATATGTATATATTCCGAAAATAAAAGCGAAAATAGAATATACCAACCTAAAATTTTTAAAAATCATGAATTCAATACATATTTTTTTTTTTAAAAAAAAAGAAAAGAAAAAAGAATATAAATACTATAACTATTATTAAAAATTGGAATATTTCGATTTTTCTCTATAATTTAAATTTATTAAATAATAAATCATAAAATAATAGCATTCACAAGTTTAAATATGGCCAATCATATATTACGAATTTCTTAATATTATATTGTTTTGAAATTTGCGTCACGCTTGTAATTTTGTGACTGAAATATAATTTTGGCAAAAATCATTATTGTCCGGAGCGAAGCGTAGGACATTATACTTTTAGGACATAGTGTGAAAATTGATATGTCACGTGAGGATTTCCGTTTGTCACAACGCCTCTAGAATTGATCAAATCAAAATAGATGAAGGTGATTGGATGAAGTGATTCATCAGAGAATCATGAGTTTTAATTACCTATTCCAAAAAAAAATGCAAAAGTATAGTAATTATCAATTTGTACGCTATTTGGTCGTACAAGAAAATTTGGAAATTAGTGTTTTTTTTTTCATATTATGCTTTATTACTGTATATTAATGTTTAAACCATTTCTAAAATAATTCTAGTATAAATTTCA